GGAGCCCTTTAAAAAAATTTTTGACAATTTCAGCCCATTCAGCACCGGTCCCACATCTAACCTAATGGGTTTTAAATTTGACGCAGGCTTAACTAGTGATGATGCTAATCACTCCTGTGTTTCGTTAAAATCCCACAATCAGTTGAACGTGTGAAAGCTGGACACTTTTTCTTTTTATCCCCCGCCGATTGAACCGGGAGGGGTATATTGTTTTGGCGTTGTCCGTCTGTCCTTCCGTCCGAATTTCGTTTCCGCGCTAGTTCTCTGCAATTACTGGCTGGAATTCAAAGACACTTTATGGGAATCATCAATATCAAGAGGAGATGCGCATATTGCCGGCTTGTTCTAGTCAGGCGCTTCAACTCAGAGTTATGGCCCTTGATTAGCTATGCAGTATACATATATATAACAATAATCGTTTCCGCGCTACTTTTCTGCAACTACTGCGAAACTTATGAGAATTTCAATACGAGAGAATATGCGCATATCGTCGCCTTAATCCGGTCAGACTTTTTAAACACAGAGTTATGCCCCTTGATAAGTTATGCATTAAACATCATCTTAAGAGGAAAGATTTTTCTCTTTGGTCTCCCAGTAAAAAACATGAGTAAAAACACATTTCGTTCAATTTATATACTTTCATTATTGTTTTATTGACACTGGGATACTTTCTTAAATGAATCCTCATAAAATGATATTTGTTACTTTTTTTTCACAAATAAACTCTTAGAACAAACCTTCTGACTCAGATGAAGGGTTTTCTGATGTTCCTGTTACATTATGTTTTGTCTTATAAAGCCTACTTTCATCTACAGTTGAATAGAACAAATCAAGATGTTCATTATCTTTCACGAGTGTTGTACGAAAGTCTGAAACAATAGTAAGATAATTATATCGTTTTGGGATTAATCAACGTCACAAAGAAAGAAAATACGTTTTACTAAATGGATTTATTATTGTTTCATTCACGCAGGATGCTTCTGAAATGAATCTTTTAATGTCAAAACAAAATACTTTAAGACAAGAAGTTACTTAAATTCGCGTATTGATATTTATCAAACTTTAAAAGTGATACAATAAAACAATATCATTATCTGGCTTGAAGCAACCATTGTTCTAATATTTTTATTTATAGTTTTTACCCTTTTCGTCTACATCAAATACATTTTATCCAATATTTTTTTTAAAGACACAAATCCATTAACAATTTATACTTCATATATATCAATATTTTAAATTTTATTTTCAAATGAACTCTTACAAGGAACATTTTGACTCACATGAAGGGTCTTCTTCCGTTCCTGTCGCATCTTGTTTTGCCTTATAAAGCTTACTTTGATTTACAGTTGAATAACCGGGATGAAAATCGTCATTACCTTTCGAGATTGTTGTATGAATGTCTGGAACATTATTAGTTTATCATCTCAGTATTAAACAACGACATATACATGCTAATTAAACAAACAAAGTCATGTTAATTATAACTATACTCGTATATGTCGATGAGTTGTATTAAGAAGTTTCACTTACTTTACTTATCCATTTCAGTGACTTGGGTTGATTTAAAAAAGATAGTAATGTATCTGAAGTATCTAATAGTCTATTAAGTAAACTATTGGGTTCTCTGTCTGCAGGGTAGATGTGCAGATATATCCAAAGCGAAAGGATATAATCAAGCTATGGATATAAAATGCTATTTAGGGAATGTGTTCCGGCACTTTTTTACAAAACAGTTACAATACAGTTACTAATTTTTTCTCGAATACCAGTTTTCAAGTTAGGACTCTGCAAAGCATTTGAAACGTGTAAAATGAAGTACATGTATAAAAAACTAAAAAAAAAGCTCATTAAAAGCAATAAAAAGCAAAATCTGTAAAGATTATATCAGCCGTCACACGCCAAGAAGTAGTAATATTATTCAATTATGCAACTCATTACATCACCAGATAAATGCTACTGTGGATAAAAGTGACTGCCTTGTTTGAATCACTCGTATGGACCAATTTGTAGTAATCTAGTTTGTTGTTTCGCATAACAATGTGTCAGTGTTCATTGTCAAACAAACATCTTCTTGAATTCGTTGTTAAATGTATTAAACGCCATAGACTATGGATTTATAGATACTTTGAGAAAAATAAGGCAACAACAATTACAGGATTTTTGTTATAAAGACTGTGAAAATGATATCTAACGTGTGCTGTAGGAACTGATTATGACTCCATTTAATGTATATGTTGTTGCTTAACCATAGGATAGTATCCTTGACAAACATTTGACGAATTTTGACCTTTGATGGTCAACAAATAAATCGGTAGGATATTTGCAACTTAAATAGAAATTTACCATATAAGTTTTGATCTATAACATATCTCGTTCATTTTTCATCAATTGTTGTTTTAAATATAAATAGATATACGAATAATGTGGGTTCGAAAGGATAATGAATGAAGCTTTTGTGACAGTGTTTCTGAAAGAAGGCTATAAATTATGACAAGAATTCAAAATGATCACATCTATGCTAAATCATATACATGTAGTTCGAACTAATGTTTGAGATCATTTATATGGCGAATATTGAATTGGAATGATATTTACTATGGCATCATTGATTACAAATTATTGTGACAGGAAATTGTCTCCAGAAAATACTTTTTTTTTACTTCAAATTAATATAATTTTTGTCAACGCTTTGAACCCAACGCTACGTCATGTGAAGTTAACATTTCTCTATTATTAAGGTTTGCTAGAGCGCGTAGTTATGTGTATAACTTTTGTTTCTTCTGAAACACAGTAGCTGCAACATGCTACAACGTTGTCGCAATATATAGGGAACAAACTGCCCGGTCACCCCTCAATACAGTTGCTTAATTGGCTATCCAAGTGATCCCTAATGACTCTGTATTTACACTTTTCATTTGTTAATCTGGTTTTTTTACGTAATTTTCAAAACAATTAGTTGGTCATCTCGCCGGACAGTTTGCAAAACCGTTTTGTTATAAATAACTGAGCATTAGACTCGATGTATGAGAACAATTTCACCAAGAAATATAGCTCAATTTAATAAGCAGGTAAACAGCAAAGGCTCTTGCCTTATTTACGACCCAAACAGTTGTGTAAAATATGCTTGCCTTTCAATTTAATCCAAACATTACTTATTTTGATATATATAATTAAAACCGATTATTTAGATCAATTTAATGCTCACAAATCTGTATCAAAAATATATGTTCATCGGGAGGAGCGTATCCTTATGTTATTACATGTACAGAAATATGCTATATTGTTTCTCATCAGTCATATGTTAAGAAAATATTAACTTTACTTTACTTTACACAACTATACTTTATTGTATATACTGCAGGACCACAATGGATGTGCAATGAAATTTTAACTGGCTTGTGACCTTTAGCCTTTGTTCCTAAATAACGTTGAAAGATAATGAAAAGCGTTTCTCGACATCGTATAACATCCATTTCTTTAGTGAATTTAAACGGTACTGGGATCCTACATATTTACCGGACAATCAGTTTACCGGACAAAAGCTATTACTGCTGAATAGTGCTTTATTTTTTGCTTCGATTAAAAAATCATACAGTCTGAATCGTACACACATTTTCTATTTCAAAGTAAATAACAACAAAACCACTCTCAGATAAATATTGTTGATTCAGTTCTTTATCTACTTACTTGCCCTTTTGTTTACTAGTTATTTCATGACCTGGTCATGCGGGGGAATAATCTGTTCTGCGCAGGCCCGAATATTGAGACCCTTAATGGGGGTTTTTAGATAAGTTTTAGTCTTTTTTTTTCAACGTTACCTCAAGAGACAATTGTAACATAATTTAATGATAAAAAGTAATTTTAAATTTAGTCAAAACAGTATCTCGTTTTTGTGTTTTACAAAGAAGTGCAAATTAAAAAAACAGGGTTAAGGAAACGGGTTATGCCCATGGGAGGAAATTTTACATGAAATGTAAATAAAATAGATTTTATGGCTTTTGTAACATGCTACATGATGACCAAAAAGAAACTGTATGACAAAGAACAAATTTTCACTTGAATATTAAAATGTTTCATGGGTTAAAGGATCATGAATAATCACTACGTTAATTGATTTAATAGTGTTAATAGTGCTAATTTCAATTACACCCTATATGTTTGCCTCTTCATAACAGGCATGGCTGTCGTGTATATTTCTAGTGACATACTGTGTTTTTCAAATATTTTAACCTTGTCATTCAATAGTCGTAGTTTCCTTGCTGATTATTTAAATATTAATTTCAATTCACGACAAAAATTGTTTAAACACAATGTCCGGTAAATTGAGTTGTTTACACGATTTTTCCCTCTTATAATGCCCTATTTTAAAGACACATTTCTACAGTCAAATGTTTAACTTCATGTTTGATAAAGGAATGTTTACGTGCATTAAGAACCCAAAATTAATTTGGGTAAAATTCAATTCTTTTTTATTATCTTAAATAAAAGTTACAGACAAAAAACTTCATATTTTGTCCGGCAATATGTAGGATCCCAGTATGCCTTGTTTTCTGTCAAACAAAACAGATCTGCTCAAATGGTGTTTATATCTTTGTGAGTTGAAAAAACTAAAGCGTGAGATATTCATTATTTTATTACATAAACATGATAATATTATAAGCCAATTGGTTCAATTTAAATATTCATATATTAACTTCATCTCAAGAGGAAAGACTCCTCTGTTCCTCCAGTAAAGCAATACACTTAACAAAAAAGATGTTTGAAATGTCCAATCAAAATGCTTTAAGAGAGAAAGTAGATTAAATGCACATAATAGTGTCACGATCTAGACACGTGACGTTGTTGTCTTCACCGAATTGATATTGGTTATAAAGCCTAATGCAATTTGTCACAATTTAGGCATGTGATGTTGCTGACTTAGTCGAATATTCACTGGGTTATATTAATCTATACCTATTATTTATTATAGTAAAACATCACAAAGAAGAAAGTGGATGTTAAGTTTATAACTTTTAATAAAGTACTGAGCTCAACACTTATAGATCAACAGTTAAACATGAAATATTTCTAACACATTACATCAATGTTCTTTACAGATTGATGATATAATCATGCATTTCACACAAGAAAAATTCAATTGATAATGTAATCATGCAATTCACTGGCGAAAAGTTCACTCTTAGTTATACATTACCAAATGTAACTATTAATATAGCTTTGCATCAGAAATATCACTTAAAATTTGTGTTAATTTTTTTTTAATATGTTTCCTTAAATCTTTGAATCAATAGCTTAAATAATTCACAATGCTTTCCTAATTGACAACTTTCTAATTTTGATAACAGCGAAAACGGCTATCCATAGTTAAGAATACGCGCGAGAACAAAATGGCCCACCAGTGAACCATGACAAAAATAGCAGGCATTTTTACCTCAGATAAATATAAAATATATATAAATATTTGATATAAAGGAAACAGCTTATCAAACCTAAAAATGAATCAAAATGCCCATCTAGATAAAATAGTCCGCTTACTTTTAGCGCAAGCTTATTTAATTGAACTACTGTTAATCTAACCGAGCGTAGCTTCACGTTACAAAATTCTGAATTATGACTCCCCGAAAAGCGGCCATCCCACCATATTTATACTAAATCAAAACCGCAATCAAAATGCACCCCAAAAATGACTAATATTAAGTTACTTTTACAAATAGGTTAAACATTGTTTGACCAAATAAAATGTATCAATTAAGAATAAATACTAGGTTGTATAAAACGACCTGCCAAATATTCTTTATATCCTTGAAAAAGTGATTTAATTCAAACACTTCAAAACATTTACTGCTTTCTTAAAACACTCTACAGCTGCTTTATTTATATAAATAGGTCAAATTTACCGTGACAAATAATGTGCTCATTAATGTATACGAAATTTATACATGACTTTATTATTTAGAGTAGTAGGCTATTTCATACCTGGTGTTTTATGTTGAAGCATTTCACTGCTTTCAAATCCACTCTCACTAAAATAAAAAAGGGAAATAACCAATTTGTGCTTACCCGATACTCACCAAATACTTACTAAATTTGTATGTGCTTTTGAATCCCGAGAAGTAATATATTAACTTTAAAAGGACTTTATTCAAAACTATCAAAAACAATCCATTCTATTTGGTATCATTATATGCAGCATTTTATAGACATTAAATGTATAAGAATGATAAATGTAATTCTAATATCAACATGTATAGTGGATATCAGTATATGTCGTATTTAACTCAATCTGCTAAGTAAAGAGTCGAATGATACCAGTATAGTGGTACTCAGCAATAGATGCCATGGTAAGAAGTTATTGTTTTCATATAATGCTTTTAGACTATATCAAATAGTTTGGATATCTTTATCGAGTAAATAAACGGAACTACTTACAAATCTGTATTACAAAATATTCGATTTTTGGTGCTTATTGTATTTTATTAAAATAGCTGCTTTTACTCACCCTCCAAATGATATTGCAGTATCTATCTGTCTGACCCATTCCTACAAAATAAAAATGTACATTTATTATATTTGTCAATATATTAATATGAGTCAGTGTGCCTATTTTGACAAAATCACGTTCTCTTTGAAGTGCGCAAACATTGCACAATTTTTCAAAAATTGTTGAATTTCATTTTTTCATTATTTAATGCTTTTGAAAAGCTTAAAAAATCAAAATGCCATAAACCATTTGAATTTTAACAGCACGTCAAAAACCGAGATTGATATATAATAATCAAAGTGTCTTGTATCAAGAAAAGTAAACGAAACACTCGCGGCGATTTACATTATGGACAGTGAACATATGAAATTTAAACTTTGAACTTATAATCAATAGGGGCAATCTAACTGTACTGTCTGAAAAACATCTAACAAGTATGATATGTATAAAAAATCTGGAAACATATGGCCCCTCGGAAGTATTTATCACAACAAAATTACATGAAAATTGCAGACCCGGTTTGATTGAGTCTGTACATGAGGGATAATAAATAAGTGTAACATCCCTCACGCCCCCTAGCACAGGCCTGGGCGGTTCTCACTTAATAGTGCTGGCATCTATAAACCAGAATGATCATACAAATATAATAATACTGAAATGTTGCCAAATGTTTTTGAACTATAGGTTGCACAAACCTTTGCTGATATAAAGATTTTTTGAAAGTTTGACTGTAATTTTAGATTATATATTATTTTCAATTACCATATTCAACCAACATGTTTTTTTATTTAATTCGTTTTTTCCAATTAATCAGATGACCTGTAGTTGAAGGGTGACATAGTAGTGGTCAGATCAATATTTTGGATATGCATAGCAGGCATGGTTGGCAAATCTTATAATCGATATATACATGATCTACACATTAGCCCTGGATATGTGCCTTAATAATTGGAATGTTTTTTTTTAAGTTCAAGGGACATAACCCTGTCAGAAATTATTTGATCTTACCCACAACATAACTTGAACTAGATATTGTATGATGAATCTGTATTCAAAATCCATTTTAGTATGTGTGACCTCTGCACATAAAATGAAAGGGAACTGCACATAATTGGAATTTGTCTCAGTCCAAGGGACACAACTTTGTCAAAAAAGAAAGCTCGATCGTACCCAAAACAGAACTTGACCGAGATATTCTTATGATAAATCAGTATGCCTAACTTCATTTCAGTATGTGCAAACTTTGCGAAGAAAATGAACAGACCGACTGACAGATAGATCGACATAGCGGCCGACAGATAGTTACAAAGCAATATACCCTCCCTGTTTTAAAGTGTGTGGGGGGGGGGGGGACTATTCAAAGTATATAAATAGGTATACCGTCCTGTTTTGTGATGATTTACAGGAACACACAATTGGCGGCCTGTTAGCTTCTCTGAACGTAAGCTTAAATGTATAATCGTTTTCGTATGGTGTTACTCTGTCGTATGGTGTTACTCTGAAATCAAACAATAACATTGGTTTTAAATACATATTTAGTTTAGTTAATCAATACAAATTATATTAAGAAAAAATTATAACTTCACCAGTTGTTTTCAATAGAAAAACAGTGGAATTTGGGGGTATGACAGGAAATTCTGCTCATATTATAGTCGCAAGATCATAACCTGTGTTATAAAATTCATTAATTTTAAACAAAAGAAAAGTGATATTTAATCTCATACTCGTGATGTCTATCAGCTTTATATTTTATGTTTTTTTACTGTATGCCAATCGTGTTAAAATTATTTGAAAAATGAATTATGAGTAGAAAAACTTGAATATATACCTTTCAAAAGCGCAGATGGGATAAGATTTCTTTAAGTTCTTTGCATTCTCATTTAAATATACATTTAAACACCCTTCTGACACGATAACATAACGACGTTTCCCTGTAAAATTATATTAATTTAGTGTATTAAATCCCTATCAATGGTATCTGTGTGCGCCTATGTACGTGCCTTTGATGGCGGTGGGCAAACATGTATTAAGTGCGCATGCAAAGTTGCTAAAAATTTTGTTCAACCAAACGTAACTGTTTTTTTAACTGTTTCAATTGTCTTATATAAAAACAACAACAATTGTTGACAATATTAGTAACAGTGATTATAACATTTGTTAAAAAAGTAGTTCATGATTGCCCTTATATCCTTCCTCCGACTACAAAGGTCTGCGTAAAAAGGAAATCAATGGTTTGTATGAAAGTTAGTGATTGCTTTGTGAGGCGTAAGAAGCCACTGATATGACATTTGTTGGTTGCTATGAAGGGCACTGGTTGCAAATATGTAAGAGAATGCCAAATTCAAATTTGAATAAGCGTGTTGTCGGTCTACTGGACGATGTTTCAATACAAGTATGTAAGCTGTTCTTTGTGGGTATTCAGGAGACTGCTCAGATTTATTCGTAAATGTGTCGATAAAAGGAACATGTAATTTCCTTTTCCCCATGCCCCACAATGCAATAATTTGAACATCCTAAAAAGCGGTCAACTAGAAAATGTTTTGTTTCGAAGTTCAAAGAAGAAAGTTATTCAGTCAAGTTTTTTTTATATATATCATACACGACTATAAATCTGAATAAAATGTGAAGAGGTATAAATACATAGGTTTAACAAAAGAAGCTGCACACAACTACAAGCTTTAGTTGCACTTCTGAGAAAATAATGTTGTTTGTAACAGGGTCATCTGTTCGTGTCTTGAACATAATTGGATTTATTTCAGTAACTTCCCCTGTTTTGTTACGTTTAATTTTATGTAAACCAATGAGATGATCGCTTGCAATTTTCTTTCAAAATTTGTTCAGTCTGATTTTTTTAATGAGTTATGGGTGAGTTAAAAGCCTTTTCAGTTGTGGTTTTGATTTGTTGTTATTTGTTTTAAGGATTTGGGAATAATATGGTATATTTTTAAGGTTATAGTAGGTTAATAACGTCTATATTTCATAAACAGTATATGTATTTGAGAAGTAAAGACATGGTTTTCTTGTATTTAGTGCTGCTCTGTTGTGTAAATAATTGAGATGTTTTGGAAATCGCATTACCTTTTATCTTCACTTAAATTGTTCTGCCATTCACATTATTCTTGATAATATGCATACTTCATTTGTTAATTTACAGCACGCATTCACCGTATGAAAGAAGTGTTGGTTGGAGACAATGAGATGGTATTGATTTGATAATGTTTAAAGCATACAATTCCGCAAATCGGTAAGTCATCATTATATATTTTAATGATCAATGTATGTTATTATGTGTTCGTTGTTGCTGTTACTTGAAAATATCCATTTATTATATGTATGTAAGGTAAATAAATAAGTATCAAATGCGTACTATTGAACACGATAATGTAATGTGTCTTTTTTCATGAGTATTATGAGTAAAAGGGAGATAATTATGAAAAGATGGATCATTAAGTGAATATGCATTTTGTGAGATTTTATATGTTTTCAGTGTACTGAACTTGTTAACTAATTACTCTAGTTGACTGTTGATACTGCAATGTTGAAGCAGAGTGCAGAAACAGTGAATTACTGGTTTGAGACATGTTTATTAAATTGACAGTGTCATCATTATTTTGATACAGTGTTTTCTTATATTTATCAACAAAGTAATACAGCGAACTATTTAAAATAATAAATCTTTTTGGATTTGTGATTTTTTGTTCAGATTCAAAATATCCAAATGTAACATTTTGTGTACAACTGGGGACCTAGCCAAACCATGAGGACATCATTAAATGATACCTTAAAAATTAATCATGATCATTTTTTGTAGTAGACATCCATTCAAATAGTGAAGAACTATATTTACAATATGTGTTACATAAAACGTTTTTCACTACAATTTAAGAAAACTTAGACAAAAGAACCTGAGTACATCTAGAAAGATCTTAACAGCTTCATTTAAGATTCAAATTTACTGTCAAAATACATTTAAATTTGTGAAATTAAACTACAAAGGTTGACAGTGTCATCAACATATGCATGTGGTAGATCTACTTAACGCCTTGCTGATTTACGAAGGAAGTTATATCAACTGAACACCAGAGGAACGTTTTCATCCGTGCAGACAGTCTTCTCTCAAACCAACAGTGTATCTGACAGTTATTGGTCCATGACTCATGTATGGTTAAAAAGGGTTAGGTCAAGTAGCTTGTAACAATTTGATTGTAAGAAAAACAATAATTGTAAACTTGTTCAGAAATTGCAGAACATACATATGTATCGAATAAATTATAGTTATTCAGTTTAAATAATTGCTGCAATTCCTGACATGATTTTTCCTATGCGTTATAACATATGTAAGTCCAAATGAAATTCACCATTACATGTTTTAAATTAATTGGTAATAGTATTCTATTTCACCAATTTGAAAGTTTTACTTTCTTACTTTCGTTATATCCGAGCATTTACTCCAAATAAATTAAATATTTAACATTAAAGAATCATCTCAAGTCTGTAAATTGTTTATCAAAAATTCAAACAATTATTGACCTAGATTTTGACATCATTACATTAAACTTGTACAAAATATAAGTAGTTATAGTAGTTATAAATTCATCAAGCATTAAAGGAATTTCTGTTCTTGTTATCACAGTTAATTTCTAAAGATAAATAATAATTTCATTCGTCTATTTATCTCGAACCATAAAAGTGGCCTTAAACTGGTCGTGTGTTGTTGATTTTCCCACCATTTACAAGTGTGTTTTTTCATTAAAAGGTCGAGGAAGGGTATTTTTCCAATATCTATAAGATCATAGTTTTTTTTTACTGATATTCCGTGACAGCATTGACTATCTGATCGGCCATGTGATTGAATCACATGGCATTTTAGCAACATCCGTAGTTTAAGATGAAGTCTATAATCTATAATTAGAATAGTGTATACAATATCATAGTGAATGAAAAATACATTGAAGACCAGTAATTATTAAATGTAAATAAATAATCAATTAAATGTTAAATAATAATAATAAACTGTAATACTTTTAGTAAAAATGTATTCATTTAACAGACATCAATAAATTTACATCAGTAAATAAAATATAAAGATACTCCCTTAGGCTAATTGTTTTGTGCTGAATTATTTGCAAAAAATGATTTTGTGAATAATTCTTAAATAGTAACATTAATATTTCAAATTGCAAAAAAAAAATGTTTTTGTAAATAAGTTTAAATAGATAACGCTTCGTTTGCGACAGTAGCTTCTTTACACTTACATTCAAAATGAATTAACTCTATATCAGTGAAAAGGCTTCAATTGAGACACCTCTAAATTATTTCATTAACCGGAAGATTAGAATAGTGTTAAGGGCACACGCCTTCTTTTATTTGGGAACCATACGCCGCTTTTCATGGAATGGCACGAAAATGTAACATTGAAGGTTTTACGATTACCGCCGTATGAACACATCTGCGGATGTTTCTAAATTCAAAATTACCACAGTTAAATGTTGAATTCTGCTTAAGCTGGTGCTTGCACTTTCTATTACCGTCCATGGACAGGCTCAATCAAACTGAGCCTGAAACATGTTCAATTTTGTCTTGTTAGGCTTTCTTTAGGGGTTCTTATTTCTCTCTATTTTAAACAATCAACATCAATATAGACTTGAAATTGAACTTCTATTATATTCATCATAAGTGACCCATTAAACAAGAAATTAGAGTCTCGTGCAGAGGAATGGAGAGAAGAGACAATGTCTGAAGATGACGAGAAATTCGTGCGGTATTTCATTCATGTTAATTCACGTCAAATAAAGACTCTACTGGAGATTTTCTTTTCTTTATGACGGATTATAGAATTGGAGAAGCAATGACGAAACCTTCACACTTGACACAACCTGCTGAAAGTTGGTCAATGAGCTCATTTTATACATCTCCATCAACACCAGCAGCTACATAAACATCTGCTAGTGCAATCATGACCACTTGAAATGCAAAAACTTGGAACATTCCAAAAATCCTAAATTATCTAGCTTTTATGGTGAGGACAGTAAAGGGGATCCAACAAGGGAAATGTTTTTAATTTGAGAAGCAGACATTATTGGCAGACAAATTCTCTGAAGAACATATATTATTAGGAATAAGACGCTCAGTTAAATGAAACGCTGGAGACACAGTGCAAAGATAAGTAACTGGAGTTAATGTTCAAGTGATACAAAAATTGGATACTTTCTTTGGCAAAATCGAAACAAGAGAGAGTATTTTGAGGAACTTTTAGTCGACTCAACAGAAAGTCAGTGAGTATGTTACTTGCTACTCATCCAGTTAAGAAGACACATTTAAAGGGAGACACAGGCAAAATTTTAATTTCTTAGTTTTTAATTTTTTATTCATTATTCTGAAAATGTCATCAAAATGAATGCACTAAACAGTCAAAAGAACAAAACTTTTCTCCATATAAAGAATAAAATGGTGTTTTCCTAACTTGACCCGCGTGGGTCAGGTTAGAGCGCTATGATTTCACAATAGTTGTCTCTGTGTTCTCTGGAAACGTTAAAGAACATGTCAAATCAATTACTTAGACTTGTTTCAATCATACAATATCTGCAATACCTGTTATAGTAACTTCCAGGGTTTGTTCAAATCACATGACTTGTTTTTAAACTATTCGGTGATTCTGTTGGCGACCAAATTTTTCAAGAAGCAGATCTACATACAACATGATCTTTTTCGTTCAGATGTTATTCGAGAAAGTGAATTAACGAAACAAAAAATGTTTAGCTGTACTTAGAAGCGCAAAGCCAGGAAAGGTTACAATAAAGCCAAAATAATGTGTTCATATTACATGTTTTACTTATAGAGAACTTGAAATTTAGCAAAGTGCAGTAATTATACAAGAATATGGAGACATTAGCTTACTTCTTAAAGAAAAGACACGGTAGAATGCCACAAATGATGATAGATGGAATAAGAAATCAAATCAAACACTTTTTGTTGGAAAAATCAGAAAGTCAAGGTCGTCCTGGTGTTCATTGTTGCACCTATCAGGAAGAAAAATGGGAAGTTGATAATTTGTCTGGATGAAACAGCAAGATTGTTAAAGATTTTTATGCTTACCCAGAATTGATGCATTCTTTGATGTATTTAAAGGAAGCAAATATTTGAGTAAAATTGATCAAAAAGCAGCATTTCATCAAGTAGAAATAAAGAAGCTCACAAGGAGAGAACATCCTTTACTTTAGGACCATTTGGATTATATGGATATGTTACAGTGCCATTCAGACATTCGAATTCACCGCCACTTAACAAAGATTGATGGAAGAATGTTTGGAGATTCATACATGAAAGTATGTATCTTATATTTGGATGATTTGATTATTTTCAGTAAAACTTTTGAGGATCATCTACGAAATCTAGAACTGACTGTAATTTAACAAACTACAAGAGTGTATATTAAATTATCTACAGAAAAGTGCTTCTTTATTTAACAAAAAGTTAATTTCTTAGGACCTGTTGTAAGTGGAACTGAGACCGATCCAACCAAAATAGAAATAAAAGCCTGGTCTACACCAAAAAATGCAGATGAACTTCGATCTTTTCTAGCATTTGCCTAATAATACCGACGTTTCATTTAAGGTTTTTCACAAATTACACGACCACAATCAGAACTATTCTTCTGCCAACTTCACCAAATAAATTAAAAAAGTAACTAAAGAATGTGAATGGACAGATATAAAACAAGACGTTTTTGATCAGCTTAACATAACTTTATCATCTCAACTTGTACTTTGCTTTTGAGTTACCGTTTGAGCTGCGCACGGATGCATGAACAAAAACACTTGTCAGTGTACGATTACCTCACCAAATACAAGATGATAATACAAAGTCATTACCTATACAGGTTGCTCAATTACAAAATCAGATAAAAGGTACTTGTCATTTAAGCTAGCAGTCCTGTCTCTCAAATGGGCTGTCACAGAAAAGTTTGCCGCTTACTTAGCATTAAAACACTTCACAGTGTTGACTGACAACAATCTTATTACACATGTACTTACATCAGCAAAGCTGGATGCAACAGGTCACCGATGGGTTTCAACTTTAGCAGAGTTTGATTTCGACATTGAATATATTCCTGAAGTCAATAATGCAGACGTTGATGGAATGTCACGATATCTATATCAACATATTATTCAAGATAATGGAAGGGAAATGATAAAACTTGAACATTACGTGATTAAATCAATATGTAGTAGTTAAATCCACAACCTTACTTTGAAACTCTCCAACTGATACATATATGATTGAGGCTACTGAAAACCCTAGCCAACATATGGCACAGATAGAGATGACACCACCATGTGATGAAATTATGATAAATTTTATTGAAATAGAAGCATTCTGTATAAATATGTAGGAATAAACATCAATCAATCAGTTATACAAAATTCTTCAAGTCATATTAAAAGGACTACATGATAACATCTACTAGAGAAGGAACTCTTGCTTTACGGGTTTGTTATGTCCAAGAATGCCAATTGATGTCAACCATTGGGTTTCAAAAGTGAAACTGTTGTCTTAGAAGAAAAACAAATACTAGATCAATATTATTATGAAACGACGCACCAACTTGAGATGGTCTTCATGGATTACTTAACACTTGAGCCTGCCAAGGGAAGAATAGCAAACATCCTTGTTATTTAAACCATTTCACGAAATTAGTCTTGACGATACCTACAAAGACTCAAGCTGCGAAACATTACCACAAAATAAAGACTGTGACGTCACAAGATATGATTCAGGGGATTTGAAAGATATAGATTCGGATATGGGAGGAGTTATTTATGTTTAATGTACGGCAAGGGGGGCGCCCATATTCCCAATAACAGTGATGATAATAGTTCTATAGAATTAGTACAGAATAGCAATTTGAAAGACGGTAATATTTAGACTAACAAAGAGAGTGACTATAAAGAAGAAGACCACAGTGATAAAGTCATTAACGTAGATATTGAGGGAAGTGTGGAGAGTGTTGCTGCAGACACTTTACCAGATGAGGAACCACAAGAAACATAACATCTCGAAATAGAGAAAACAACAGAGGAATTAGTGGATACAAATAAACAGAACATGGAACATATAGATGTAGACATTATTGAACAAAGTCATTCATTGAATACTTATGATATTGAAGTTGGAAATGTTGAAATATAGAAGAAAGAGATTGTGGATGAACAAAATATACGGAATTAGGAACAAAAATACACATAATGCTCAACTGAATACACAGAATGAGGAGTGGAACAGAATACACAGAATGAAGAACAATATATACAAATTGAAACAAAAGAAATACAAAGAACTGAAAATAGGGACCAAAACCTACTCCTAGAAAGTGCAAAAGAGAAAGAAGACAACAAAAATGGTTTGACTCCTATCAAATGCACCAAATGGTGGCAATGAGACCATATGACTCTAAGCTTGAATCTTTATGCCTTAAATGTACTTATGACATCAGGGGTACTGAATTATGTAGATTCTGAAGAAGAAAATAAAGTTGTGGACGCGATCATGAAATATTTTGTCGACATACAATTTTTTAATTGAAATGAATTTTACATTGAAATGAAATGTATAAATAAAACAAAAACACCTAATGACCTTATTTAAGGCACGATTTTGTTTTGTCTATATTATGTTTTCTTAAATTACATTGAATTGCAGGTATCAATGTAGAGAGAGGGGAGAAAATAATGTATGTTAACCAATTTTAAAATTAAATCAAACATTTTATTGTAAAATAAGTAAAACTTTATTGTTAATCTAATAATTTTAAGTTCAAGTCATTTAATTATTCTAAATATATTAAATGATGTGTACAATTTAGGTCTAAAATCAAAGTAAAGAATGATGTGATGTAATATGGAGTCAGCTATTACTTGTTGAAAAGAGCCACCAGTAAGAGTTGTATGTCAGTTGTACAGTGTAACACAAAGCTTGAAATAGAGTAGAAAGGAGTACAGATAAACTGTATATGGTAATGTAGTTGATTCTTGTATGGAACATACTAAGAATGAGTATACTAAAGAATAAGTGTTTTCATATTGTGAATATGTCGAGACTCTAAATAATAAATACAGACAGCAAATCACGTTTTTAGAGAAAATTAAATAAAAATTAAAAACTAACTTTAAAAAGGGATAAATCAGTCATTAACAATTAATCAAGAAAGTGATAAAGTTTGATATCTACACAATTCAAAGAAAGAAAATGTATAGAATGTCCAAAACGTGTAACGCTATTAATCGATCCATTCATTATTATAATAAAAAAATAAGTAAATAAATGAATAAATAAATAAACAACACTTTTATATAAGGTACGTAAAAACGCATCCTTGTTACCAATTACGGTAGGATACAGAACATATTATGAATTTATAATTGTGAATATTTATGTATTATTATATCTTGTAAATTATTTAAGTTCCATGAATTACACTTTTAGAGAAGCAGATTTTAAAACTTGATTCTAAGTTCCTGTAACAGACTAGAACAACATTACAGCACTTCTATAATGGGCCCCTCATAATCATTGTTGTAAAAATTTGTAAGAAACCAAGCCAATTGTCAAGAAACTGTTGGTAACGGCGGCCAACGGACGTACTTCTCTTCTGAGTACTTTCTTTTTGCTACCGGAGTTAAAACTGATACTTATAACGCTTTCCAAACCTCTTTCTGTGCTCACCTTGGATCTTTAAATACCCACTGAATTTACATTGACTTGCATCTAATTCAGCCGAAGTCGCCGAGTCTGAAATGGAAGCATTTAAAAGAAAATTATAACAGCATAAAACGCAATAAAAATCTTACCAGACACTTTATTATCTTTATAATAGAAGTGTTAGGGTAACTTTAAAAAGCCTGAATTTATTATCAAATTATTGCCTTTTCAATTGTTTAGAATTATTTAGACAAGCCCTAGCCTTCGCATTTCAGATTGTGAAAGGCGTAAGGACATAATTTACTTAATATATGAAAAATATTTTTGCATCGCAAGTGCGAACTAATCCTAGATCTTCAAATGTTTTATTTACTCAATTTTGTAAGTATGAGTAAAAAGCACAAGTATGTAAAATCAACAAAGAATGTTTAGCAATGTACACGTACATTACAGTTTCAAACATTACTTAAATGTGCTAATAAGATACATTTTATATGAAATATGAGCTTGATTGATTAATTGATTAATTAATTTATTGATTGATTGATCGACTTATTTATGTACTTATTGTGTTGTTGAAACTATTATGTATATATTGAAATGTATATCAAATAAATTATTTTTTCCCGATTGATTTCCCGAAGTCAAACACGCTTATGAACTACATTGTGTACGTATTGTGTTGCAAAAATTAATTAAATTCTGTCAAAAAAACCTATTAGATGGCATTCGGGATACGTCTTACAAATCTTCTAGCACTGCCGATTATTTTATATAATATAAATAATAAAATCTTAACTATATTAAAATAACACGTGTACACTAATTGCAAAACGTACATCTTTGTAAAAGCATTGTTGTGTTAACCATTGAAATTCTGGGGATATTTCGTGAAATAAATGCAATCCAAACCGGTATATCTCTAACATTTTGAATAATAACGCTTTGCCAACCTTTGTTTTAGTGAACATTTTATTGTTCATAATTCAGTAGGTTTACGTATATTATAATAGTAAATTGTTCATTCGTTCTTCTTACGACTTATTTCTTGACGTAATATTTTTAATTTATGTGCGGCTGTTATTTATGTATTCACGAGCTTACAACTACAACACAGCGTCTGTTGTGTTTTTCCGTGTTAATTGACCTTATATATTTAAGTTATTTATGACTTTATTGTGACGTCATCACTTTTAATGCAATAGCGACGACCTTGTTTTGACTACTTTGACTGCAGTTTGCTGACATAGTCACTGTTTTTTAACTATACATTTCTTAATACACATCCGCATTCGGTAATGGAATTGATGTCATTTTTCAGTGTTATAGAGCCATTTCAAGCAGCAGGCCTCAAGAAGATAACGAAAAACTACCGTCCTACTAGTATTTCCTAATCACTGTTCAAAAACGTTATATTGTTGAAAGAAATCGAAATGACACAAAATTTGCATACAGTTGCTTTGAAAACAAACAGTCTGCTTTTAAGTCAACGGGAAATGCCTTACTTTATCATAATTTAGAATTCTTTCATTCAGGTTTCTGTTCTAGACAGTACAACATGATTGTGCAGGAAAATATCGAGACCTGCGGTGTGACCATTTTAAATGATTTTTTCCTATTTATATTGGCTACTGCGTTAGTAACGTAGTAGATTATGCAAACGTAAAACACTATATATTGACGCTTTTGTCATCATATTTTCACGAATTGAGATGTAAGGAATAATGGATTTATTTACACATGAAACTAGATCATTATTTACCGTTAACTTGAAATTTCATTTCATTTTTCCCATTTTACTATCCGGATGTTAGTGCCGTTTAAATTAACGAATATCCTCTAACACTCAAATATTTTTCACTGAAATCAAATACTTGCAATACAGTCAGATGGACTGATGCAACGTGATACGTGAAAAGTGATGAGCTATATTTGTTAAATTAAATTTTTTGTTTTTTAATCATCAAAAATGTCAATTTTATCTTTTCATTTCTGAACTATTCGAACGAATTAAGATACATTTCACCAGAACTTACAATACTAAATCTACTTTGAAGTATAAATATGACCATTTGTCTTATCTCTTCTTTAAAGAAAATTTAAAAAATCGTATGATAATCAAAGTAATTTATTTTTTCCATTTATGAATCGAGGAAAGAATATGCCTTTATTACAAATAGGAGGACCATGTTTGCCATACACTGACCACCTAACTTATAAAGAAATAGAAAATATTGACAAAGTAATTAAAGCTGGTCCTTAGTAAAAAGTAAATAAACTTATATCAAACTTCAAGTCTGCATCTGGAACTGTGCACATAGTCTAAATATCATAGCTGTAGCTCGATTGAAAAAAAGTCATCTGCCATCACAATTCATTTACAAGTTAAAGACGTTATTACACACATAAACAAAGCAGGAGAAAAGTGAATTTTTTTTCAAAACTTTGCATGTTTAGAAAGGTTCATAATTGAAACAAATTTATAAATGACAATTAGAGGTCAATGTTATACATTTGGAGTGTTCTGTCTCTTAAACTGATTTTAACGCTTCATTTTCAATAGTAGATAACGCAAGATTAACTGTACTGACCTCTTAATTTAAATTATATTTATAAATATGCAAAATTTAAAACAATAAATCTAGCATGCATGTTTCTATGCTGCTTCAATAAGTCTTCTGCAAAAGGGGCTTAGCTAAAGAAAATATCCTTAGTTATCTTCATTTAATCACAGGATTTCAGCAAATGATTTATCAAATTGTAAGTAAATAATGTGCTAAACATGTCATTGAAATAACATAAGATGTTTTTGTTGAAGTTGTGAGCTACCTGCTCATGAAAATGCATAAAACTGACATTAATCTGACCAACATTTTTAAAGTTTTATTTCAATCAATATTTAAATTAGTATATTTTTCTTGCTTTGTAAATGTAAAATGATGAAGATGAATGGTATAACATTTAAGAATTTAAAGTCAAGGAATAAAGTAACCTGAAAAAAATCTATGCCACATAACATTAATATCTGTATTAAAACTATGCATATGCTAAAACTGTTGAGCTAAATACAACAATAAAAGTAACCTTTTATCAAAATTAAGTGGAAAGCCAAATTGTGTTTGCAGATTTATATGTGCATCACCACTCTCGGGTGGAAATGTTACGATAACGGAAAGCAGCCAACCAATATATCTTACCTAAGTTATTATGTTTTATATTATGGAAATGAAACAAATGGAAAGAAACAGGGCACTTATGATGTTACCCATATGATAAATTTTAAGTACCTTCCTTTTCATATATAAAAATGTAAATTTACCGCGGATTTGGTCAAGTTAATTGTTTAATTGTCGTTGCGGCCAGATAGGCTGTATCTTTAAGAAATAAAATAGATAATGTATTTGTATTTAACAAGTATTTATCTTCAAAAAAACGTTAAATTTCCAAAAATCGGATTATAAATGGAAAAGCTATATGGTATTTTGTAAAGTAGGTATCCGTTGCGAACGAGCATTTACATATAGCGCCGGTAAATTATCGATCGATGTGCCTTTATCGGTGCGCGCATTTACATAACTGGGAGTGTCTGATCCCTGTAATATAAATCCCTGCTAGTATTTGCTGTATAAACGAGGAGACCGGCAAATAGCACAAGAAATGTAGGTCACTAAATCCTTGTGTATTAATAAAGGTCCTGGATCCCTTGGTTTCCTGTCATAATTCTGGAAACAAAGTGATCCCCCGGAAGCATTAATCACAACAAAATAACATAAGAATTGCAGACTCGGTCTGTACATGAGAGTTATTGAATAAGTGCAACATTCCTCACGCCCCCTAGCACCGGCATGAGCGGTACTCAATTCTCAACACTTTATAGTGTTAGCATCAATGATCCCGAAGGACCAGAAAATAAACTCTTTCTGTCTGCATTGAGGCATTTTGCCGACATAATACAATACTTACACTAGGGGTTATGCAGACGCTTTCAGTAGATTACTCTTAATCAGTTAGGAGGCAGATTCAAGCGTCTGCATAATACTGATTTTATTAGTCTACTTAATAAAGCCCTTTATAAGTAATTAAATCTACTGTTAAATACAAATAGTACCCTTGAACGAAATGATAATGTACAATCAGTATACACATGTATATAAAGCTTACTCATTTACTTACTTACTTTAAAATTAAACACTTTTTACTTTAAACAGGGTCTTTCAAATTTCAATTTGAAAGACCCTGCTTTAAGTTACTAACACAACATATGCCTAACTAGCCTCAGTAACAAGGATTTAAGATTTTCACTAACACTTTTAAGGTTGTAGGTTTGAATCTCAAGGAAACATTAATTTCTATATTTCTTTTTTATATAACCTTTTTGTAGTTTGAAGCTATAAGTCTTAAAAATAAATTTAAAAAATTCAAAAAGTAAATAAATAAATAAATGAATAAAATAAATAAATAAATAAATGAATAAATAAATAAATAAAAAAATAAAGAAATATAGAAATAAATAAAATAAATAAAATGAATGAATGAATGAATGAATGAATGAATGAATGAATGAATCGTATAAATAGATAAAAATGAATGAATGAATGAATGTATGAATGAATGAATGGGATAAATATATAAAAATGAATGAATGAATGAATGGATGTATGAATGAATAATGAATGAATGAATGAATAAATTTGCGCGACTGTTATGCCATTACCAATAACGTGTAAGTGTGAATTTATTTATCGAAAACTATACTGGTAATTCGTAATAAAGAATTAGTTATTGCCAAACAATACCTCCCTTTGTTTAGTGGTATGTTTATTTGCTTTAAATAAAAACTGTATAAACATAATTATAATGCGCATTAACTTTCCTTTATCTTTATTTCTAATTTTTAACTTATACGTCGGCAATAACACGATTTAACAAGATATCCGGAAAATATATCGAACATTTTCGATTTACCGTCATTAAAATAATGTGTGAAGTTTTAGATAAAATATAATAAAGATCTTGCAAAGTTTTACTATACATGTATGATGAATGAAATATCTGCATGAGATTCCCATCTATAAGCGATATTAAGATCC